TTCAAATGATGAACTTCTCAGTTGAAATTGAAAAATCAAATTTTTCCACACGTGTTTCATGAAAAAAGTAAAGGCCTTAACAGCGGAGAACAATGTTTAATTCAAATAACGCAACTTAATTATATTTTGATTTTTGGTCTTCCGTATTTTATAATTACAGCACGATTATAATCACAAAATTACATTTCTTAATTATGCAATCTATTGATTAGTCAAAATGATACAATTTACAGAAATAACAAAAAAGAATCTATCTCTTATAAGGACAGTTATGAAAGCCAATGCGGCTTTTAACTAATTTTATAATATTTTAACAACTAAATGTAAAAAGTTTTTTTTCAAAATCTATTATAATTAATGAAATAACAAATAATTGTATTAAAATTCATTTTTTCATCGAAAATTTTTTTGCTTTCAGAAAATATTGTCCATATTCATAAAAAAACAAATAGCAAAAATAAAAAAAAGCATTTGAAATTAAATAATATATTTGTTTTATTGTTTTTTTTTTCCAATTTTACAATTCCAGAGCTGATTTTCAGGTACTGCGTATCCAATTAAAAAACAAAAAAAAAAACATGATTTGCATTCCTCAAAGCCCTGTGTTTTTTTAATTATTGTAATCACTAAAACCGATGCGATCGAATTTCTAGCGTTTTTTCATAAAATTAGTTATGGGGGTAATGTTAAAAAAATTTCAAAAAAATATTTCTACCATGACTTTCAGGAAAAAAAAATATTTATAATAATTTCGATCATCTGTGAATAGTTTCTGAAAGTTTCATTAACATCCGATAATTATTTCTATTTTTGCACGATTTTTCAAATTAATGTGTCATACCAAAAACGTGCTAAAAATTGTCTATAATCTTTTATTTACTAGTTTTGATACAAATAGAAAAAAAAATTTTTTTTAATCAAAATTTAGAATGTTCTAAAAAGAAGGAAATTTTTAAAAAAAATTAAAAAAAAAAATTTTGGTCTTTTTTAATAATAACATAAGCATTTAGACAATAAAATTTAGTTTTAGGTCCAAATTTGGCGTCTTTTCATCAAAAATGCATTTTTTTTAGCGATTTCAAAGAGGTATTATAGGAGTTAAAACTTTGCCACAATGAGAGGGAGGTTGTTGGGTGGTTTTTTTTTGTCACCCACAAGGACTCAGAATATTTTCTGGACTATCAAGACTAGACAACTCCTGCCCAAATATAACAAAGTTCCATTTTCAGCTTGACCTGGTTATTTTAATGGTAGAGGATAACATTAGGAGTCATGGACTTACTGAAGCTATACAGGGAGTTAACCATTTTTACCTATTCTTCTTACATGCCTCAATTTCAATCAGTAACCCTCTACCTTGAGTAGCTATTGAGCCTTGTTTTAGTTGAACAATTAGTTAAAAAAAATAATGTTAACAATAATTCAAATAAATTCAGTTGTTTCTTTAAATAATTTATGGAAGATTAAGCCATTTCATAAATATCAATGAAGGCAGCTAACATTTCTTCAGAAATATCAGTGTACATGTACCCGGGTTTTTTAAGTTCCATTAATACCACATGGTTTATGATTGAGTTTTTTTTCATTCAACAGCAAAAACAAATGTCAACTGAATGTTTTATGCAATTTTGTAGCACAAATCAATATTCTTTGCAAAAGTATATTGAGGAATATAACTGGAAGAGAATTTATTTTTTTTTTATCAAATGAAGGATTGTCAACAATTAATTTCCAATCCATTTTGTTTAATTCCAATCAGAGACTAACATTCAAAATACTTGTTTGGAAAAGCAAGTCAAATTAAGATGAAACAAAAATGAGGAAAACTATAATTTCAATGTTTAATCTAAAATTCAATATTAATACTACTTGATGAAAAACAATAGAAATTAAATAAGTCAAAATTGACTAATGATTGTCGATGCTTCATCTTAAAAAAATTCAAGATAATATTCGTTAAAAATACTAAGAGAAAAAATTTGTTCTGACAGAAATATTGTGGAGAAATTAATTGTTGGTCAGACAGGAAAGGAGAAATTATTTACATTGAGTTGTTCAAATATCATTCATCAAACAAAAGCTTGTTATTTTCTGTACTAACCCTTTAGAGTTTTAGTGGTCAAATGACAGGTTTTTATGTGATCCCTGAAGTTAAGTTTGGAGGAAAAATTTTTTTATTACTAAATTTACCTTCTATATTTATACATCACAGAGAATGGCAATATATTTTGCAACTTGAGATAAGTGCTATTTTTTTTCCGCCCCCCTCTCTGCTCAACCTGACTAGTCTCCATTCGTTTTGGGGATTATTTTTTCTCAACAATACTAATCAAAAAAAAAATTAATATTGGTAAACAATATTTTTCTAGAGGTAAAAAAATTTTTTTTAAATGGAAAAAAATCAATATTAAATGAACAAAAAAACACTATTTTTAACGGAAAAATCATCAGATGTTTACTATTTTAATGAAGAATTGTGCTGGAAAAAAATAAAAACCTGAAACATCTTTAATGGGGATTCCACTTTTCTCAACAATAAAAAAAAATTTAAGATTTTAAAATGTTTTGTTTTCTTCAATTTACCACCACCATCACCTAAAAATCATCAGATGTTTACCAAGAATTGTGCTAACTTTTTTTTCTGAAGAAATTTCAAATATAGACTTCATTTTGACTTGTAAAGGATTTTTATAGACGGTTTAAGAGCCATTCGAAGTAGAGGATTACTGAAGGGTTGAAGCGTGTTATCACTAACATTTTTTGTCAAGATTTACAAACTATGTTTCATTCAATTTTGCAAACTACCGTAATTCCCCACGTATAATACGACTTCATCCATAATACGCACCCCTAAAATTTTGGTTGAAAATAAGGGGAAAATGCTTCTACACACGTAGAATACGCACCCCTTGTTTGGTAATCAAACCCCATAAACTGTACCTCTCCAATTTCATTACGGCCAGCGTTTCCTACTCTTATTAACAAAATGGTTTTAAACATAGAATAATATTCTAATTTAGTTTTATAATAATTCTTATTTTATTTTACATTTCTAAGTATTGTTAGGCACATATGATTGTATTTAACATCCTTATGCGGTCGCAATCGCCGAATGTTTGTGTCAAATTGACGTCTGTTTGTGGTGAATAGTCATTTCGTAACTAAAATCAACCTTAGAAACTGCAAATTTTAAAGATTTTTGTTTGTAGCTGCACATAATACGGACTCCTAATTTTGCTTATTTTTTTTTCAGAAAAAATGCGTATTATACATGGGGAAATTTGATTAAATTGATTTCTTGTCAAAAACCCTACTTTGTGGTTATATAATTTCTCTAATTTTAGGACTTCATGGTAAACAATTTTTAACAGCGACGAATAAATTCAACGCTGTTAATAACAAGAGGAACTAGATGATCAAATGTCTATGAAGTGTATTTAAAGTTTCAATTTTAAACAGTACCATTCAAAATTCAAATGGCCGTCTTACAAAGAAAAGGAAAAGAAGTTCGGTTACCTTTCGTAGTTGAAATTAAGTCTTTTTTCTGATCTCTTTTACTTGTTTTGATTTCTTCGTCTTCTCTTTTTTTCAGCAAATAAAAACACCAGTTGAGGTTTGTTTTTTTGTTTTTTTTTTTTTTTTAGGGGGAGGGGGGACCTTATGACGAGTAACAAAGATTCCCCCAGCAACTCAAAAAGGTTTAACGAGAGAGGAAAAGTCTTGTCTTTTATAGAGCTTCTATGGATGATCTTATTTCACTCGACAGGGGGTGACATTTGCACTAAGTCACTAAGAGCTAACATCGCTAGCTCGTTAACTGAATGCTGTAAGTTCAATCCTTGCGCTAGGCAGTACATTTTATTGTTATTTTTCTCTTCAACATCACATTCTATAATATTTCAAAATAAACAACATGTTCAGCAAGACATAAATTTTCTAAATTTCCTTTTGCCATTATGAGAAGTCAATTTGAATTTCAAACTTTAGACATTAGGAGTTACCATGTAAAAAAAAACAAAAACTAATTAACTAATGTTTGTTATTTACTCCGAATTGTTATTTACTACAACAAATAATTTTAAAATTTGCTGTTTTTCATCTGTTTAAATAATTCGGTACAGGCAGTTTTCACAGAATAATTAAGTACATTATTTTGATTTATTTAGATAATTCTGTAGAAATTTTTTTGGTTCCGCTTGACTTTAGTAGTGTAGTAATGCCAGACAAGAACAATTGTTTTGAAGAAATATGAAATAAGTTCGTTAACTAATGATGTCAGTCCTAAAATATAAAAACTTATAACAAAAATAATATTTCTAAATTATTTATACCCGCTTCTAAAAAAGGAACTTATTCTTAGAAGCCAAAATTCTTACATTTTTACATTACGTAGATGACCCCTTCATACTCTGGTCAACCCAGGAAGAAGTCCAATTTCTCCTGAACCATGTGAACTCAATAAGATCATCGAAACAGTTCCCAGTGGACAGAGAAAACGACATCAAACACGCAAACTGCACTAATATCCCGAACAGAGCATAGCTTCAAGACATCCCTATACCGCAAGCCAACATTCACCGACCTATACCTCAACTTCAACTCCAAATAGGCATACCCTTCGGTGAACTGTTCCTGGTCTATTTTCCCATCCGGCAGTCGACCAGCTACGAAGATCAAAACAACCTCCAAGTTGCCAACGATTCTCGAATAGATGGTGAAAAATCACTTACATTAAACCTTGGGGATTACGTAGATCGTTCACTTGGGTATTTACTATCGCGCAAGTAAAGTCACCAATTCTAGGAGCTGATTTCCTGGCCCATTTTAAACTCACCGTGAACATGTATTCCTGGTCCTTAGAAGATAAACATACCGAGATTGCAATTAAGGGAATTACTTCAAAATTGACAACGGCATGTATCAGTACAACCCTACCCACTGCCAACGGTCTTCAACATTTATTACGGAAATATCCAGAAATTCTGACACCGTTCAACTATATGCAACCAATCTTACACAATGCGGAACACAGGATACAGACGACTGGTCTTCCCGTGCATTCACCTCCGCGGCGTTTACATCCCGATAAATATAAAAATGCTAAGATTGAGTTTCAGCATCTGTTGGACTTAGGGATAATCCGTCCATCATCCATCCCATACGCTTCTCCTTTGCATATGGTGTCGAAATCGGAAGCTGGAGCTTGGAGACCATGCAGTGATTTTCGGCGACTTAATGCTCAAACAGTCCCGGACAAATATTCGATCCCGCATCTACAAGATTTTGCAATAACGTTACAAGGAGCGTCAATTTTTACAAAGTTGGACTTCAGAAAGGCTTTTCATCAAATCCCTGTGGCAAAAGACATCCACAAAACTGCTGTGACTACACCGTTCGGTTTATTCGAGTTTACTAGAATGCCCTTCGGTCTAAGAAATGCAGCGCAGTCCTTCCAGCGACTTATAGACGAAGTACTGCGTGGCTTGCATTTCACATTCGCCTATATTGACGATGTTCTGATTTCGAGTAGGAACATCGAGGAAACACCGATCACGTGGAACAGGTTTTCTGGTGATTGAAGCACTTCGGACTTAAAAATTAATCCTACTAAGTGTGAATTTGCTGTACCGAAGCTGATC